TTACGGGCCACTGGCTGCATTCTTATATTTAATCCATATAGTAAAGCACCCCAAGCCTAGCTTTTCTAACAACGGCATAAGGAACTCATCAAAACGTCGGTTATCAGTTGCAATCCCTGCATGTTAGGTGCCTACCACCTTTGTTTTTCATTAAATGTAAGACCACCAACAATTCGGGATCAGAGGAAGTTCCAGGTTATCCTCTTCAGCGACAATGGTAAAATCTCCCGAAAGATAAACTTCAAAAAATAACTTATCCTTGTGTAACACTTCAAGTGTTTCACATAATGAGTGTTTCCGACCTTCACTTCCACAACTTAACCAAGAAGAGTCACGAGCAGTGATGGTGAATATAATTAAATGTCTTAGGGACATCGTAAAATTAGTCAGTTGTGAATGTGGATTAAACCTTATGTAATGGAATTACTATTGTAGTTTTGAAGTCAGATAGCAACGTAAAAACGAAAATTATAAAAAAATGATACGAAATTTATATTGCTTAAAATTCTTACCAATAAAAAAAGAGCAAGGCAGGCAATAATTATAATTATTTTTAATTAGTTTAGTTTTTTCCTTTTTTGCTGAATATCAGCGGTTACCGTCATTTATGGAAATGTTTAGTTATTGAAATGTCCAGTAACTTCTAATTATGCATTATAAATTACAGAGACTGTAATTGAATTAAAATTTACTCCGGATCCGCACGACAAATCGCTTATTCCAGACATTGTATGATTTTCGTTCATTTGTTGCCCTCAGCAAAACAAAGCAATCTATTGCGTAGCCACATTAACAAGACTATAGTCATAACAAAAACTTTCGACTTTCCCAACGCGAAATTTTTTCATAAAATCATCTTCCTTCAGACCATTGGAACATTGCAACTAAACAAGTACCATAAATTTGGAATCTCTGATTCAACAGCTAGTTATATTGCGATACAGACTCAAATCCCAGAGATTATAATTCCATGTACCAATGTGACACATGAGTATGGATACTGAAAATCTCAATCCGAGGCATCCACACAAAATGCGAACCAAAACACTTGCAAACAGAGACCGCTACATTCGGGATGATTTAGTGAAATTGTTGCCAACTAATTAAACCTAAAGTCTTAACTGTACTTTGTAGGACTCCAGTTGGAGACTTAACATGTCGCAAGGAATTAAGGGAGATTTATTTGCATACTTGACTAGTTGGACACGGGCCTTTACTCGTAATAAACCAAATATACGCTTCATAAAACTGAAATCTCCGGGCCGATAATAGTTTTGGTTAGCAATTTAGATAATTTTGAGTGTATGATGAAAACATAATAATCTTTAAATCTATACTATAGAGTAGTTACTGTAGTTGTGCAAAAGTTTAGGGATTTTATTAATATTTCGCTAATTGCTTATTTTTTTATTAAAATGGAACCGTTTTTTCACTAGTAATCGCAAATTGATATAGTTAATAATATAATAGGGTCTGTTGCAAATTGCATATAGACTTTAGAGTATTCAAATACAATTTATTTCGTCGCTATTAAAGGCAAAAAAGAACAAATAAAAATTAATAATTACTCGTACAAAAACCAATCAAGAGTTTCATCAAATAGGCCCACAGGGGTCAATACTTAAAACTATCCTGCTTATTTTTACCTAGGTATAGTTGACAGTCGAATGGATAATTCAACGTTAAAATACACCGGTCAAAACAAACGAATTTTGAGAAATAAATGCAATTTCGAATCAGGAAATTAATAAAACAAATTATTCAAGGTCTAGTCATTATCAAAATTCAGAAGATCTAGTTCCCAATATAGCTTGCAATAATGCAGAAGTATCAAGTTTCTAGGTTTAACGATGGATAAGAATCTAGTGCCAGCGTATAATATGTTATAGCCATTTTGACTAGACATGAGCTGCGAGTGCAAATTGAGATATGAAATCATGGCACGAGGAACTTTCCCAAGTATGATTGAGGTTTTCTCAAACAAAAAAAAATGTTATGTAGCATGATTCACTCATCTTATTCAAGTTCTGCAACTTGCTAACATCATAATTTAAACGTTAAATCTAATTGACAGTTTTGCATTAATATTTTAAAGCAGCCAAAAAAATTATTCGTTTTGTTGATCCTTCGCTGAAAGCCAGTTCGCAGGCTCTATATTAAAACATAATTTTAGCTTTAGCAGTAGCACAGTGCACTAGAGAATATTCATATGCGCAAATTTCCACTACCGGGATATTCTTTTTATATACATTTACCTTTTTTCCTGCAAATGTGATATCGTGTTCCTCTTTTTTTTGCACCAAACTAACCGTGGCGGCAAAAATAAAAATAAGGGAAACGAATTAGCAACGTGAGACCAAAATGGAACTCAATTTTCTTCCGAACGTATTCGCTTAAATCCCGAGTCTAGAAAATAACAATAAACCGAAATTAGTATGAAAATATAGGAGGAAGTCCCCTCGAAATACCACGGGATCCGCTTGCCTTATGAAAATGAATACGTAGCCGTAGTATGAAAAATAACAATTTCATTTCACTGAATGTTCCCATATTGTTATTTGTTTAAAAGGCAAAGGAAAATGTTGGAATAAAGTTTTTGAATGCCAAAAACGTTCTTGATTGTTAAATATTTTTCGGATCCTTAAGGCAACTAGTAACTAGCTGTGGTTCAAGATATGGAAGAGAAAAGAAACAACAGCAAAGGAACCTTTCTTAAAGTGCCATGCAGATTCCAGCGTAAGGGTCTTCTATTGATTGCTGCGTCCTGAACCGACCGAAAGTCCTTAATTTTTTGCAGCCAAGACAGTTTCTTCCTTCCATTGCCTCGCTTTCTACCTTCCCTGGAGTCCTAGTAAAGGGACGTTTGTTCTGATTAAATGAGAACTCGACATTTTATCTTTTGGAGGTTCACCAGAAATTAAAAAAAAAATTTAATCTCTTACAAGAATTTTATATTTAAAGTTTTAACACAGCTGAAGATGTAAACCTATTATGCGTTTTTAATCTCTTCATATGAGTTTGTGGTTCCTGCTCAACGTGGGATGTGTTTGGGTCTATACATTACAAGCGTTAGCTGAAGATGAGCACTGGAAAGATATACTGGCATCTCAATGCATTGAGTGACATAATAACCATTTTAAAATTTTATATATGGGCTGTTAAACAGTTTTTTACATATTGGTGATAACTTATTTATTCTCTTTTAATGTAATGGCTCATTCATATTGCAAATTCCGACACCACACATAATTCTAAGCAATTTTTGGTATTGTGCAACAGTTTTTGGGGAGAACTTTTAACAAAATGGACAACCCGAAACAGAAATCCCCAACTATACAATGGAACTTTTTTTTTTGACTTTCTGATGCCAGTGTTTTCGATTTCAAATAACTGATACTGGATGCCGGTTTTACAACGGATCTTTGTGGCCAGTACAAATATTCAGGTAGTTGAAATCTGCAATTGTTTTTGACATTTGAGATTTCGAAGGTATTTGAAGTTAATTAGCATTGTTTTCGAATGAATGAGGGATTCTTATGCATTTGTAAGTAGCATACAACCTGTAGCAATAAACCGCATACTGTTATTGCTCAAACCGATAGAAACAGGTATGGCCCAACATCATATGACACGATTGTCTCTGACCTCGATAGATATTAATTAATTCTTTTTACATTTTTTGCATTACATTTTGCATACATAATTTTTGTGATTCTAAATTGCATTTATTTCCTAAAATTCCTTTGTTCTGGCGGGTGAGCCTTAACGTTGAGTCATCCGTTATACCGTAAATTATAGGTGAAAATAAGAAGGATGGTTCAAAATATTGGTATCCCTGAGAGTCTGTAAATTAATAAACAATAACCGATTGCTCTCAAACCCGTACGGTAATTTACCGGAAATGTCTGAAGGGGCTCGGATACGTGGGATAAGAAACGTTGTAAACCGACGCTTTCCGTAAGCTAGATCGGTGCATTATTAGGTATTTTACAGAAGGGAGAAGAAAAAAATAGTTTTCAATTGTAATCAACTTTAGTTAATAACAATTTGTGAATTTATCAAAAATAAAGGTACTTCATTCTTGCATAAAATTATTTTAGGTTTCAGACCCTAGAGAAAATTTCACGAGTAATTTTTTCTTAATATTAAAGAAATTTCACAGGAATAAAATTTTTGTAAAATTTAAATAATGCCAAAAGTTCATTTTTATTGTAATTGTATATTTCATCAATTTTTCTAAATAACATATTTTGATTTGGTTTAATTTATAACTTTTCCTCACCCAATTAATACCAAAGATATTTCACAATTTTTTCTAAATGTAAATAATACTGAAACTTATGGTAGATAATTGTACTTGGATGTCTGAACGTAATTTTCAACTCTTATCAAAGTGACAATTTCGGATTTAACAACCCCCTCATTTATTTGTACCAAAAATTATGAATAAAGAAGTATGGCATATACTACCGACTTAATTAATTAATACTATTAAATTCGACTTGTTGATTTGATGAGAGTGTAGGGTGACCTGCAATTGATCCAATATGAAACCTCACGCCCACTCTAAATTTGAGTGGGACGCAAGATTAACGAAATCAAATCCGTTTGCATTCTGTGACGGCGACAAATAGATTTCGACCTTGCTATTCGTGTGTGGTAATTATTCGCCACATTAAACTGAATCGCGATATTTATTAGATCGTAGAAATTTTCATTCAAACCGCATTTGTATCCAAAATGGAAACATTTTTCATTGTTATCGGGCGGGGATTATTTGCCATTATTAAATAATTCCGGCCAACCTGTGCTGAAAAATTTTCCATTAAATTTGAAGCCCGAGCTTTTTCGCGGAAAATTTAATCAATTGCTCTTGTTGCCATTTTATCGCCTGAGTTCGGATAAAAATGGAAAGTTTGCTAATTCGGCACACATAATCCGTATTTTTTTTTAATAATTGAATATTCGTAATATTACTAATATTGCATTAATTTACTTACGTTTTGACTACGTCTGATTTGTGATCTATGCCATCGCAATTCTTGATTCAACGACCTGCAACAACAAAAGATATTGCAGCCATTGTCAGTAAGGTTATATATTTTTTATTTATTACAACCATAGTCTGGACTATTAAGACGACAACTGCGAACTAACCAACTAAAACAAATTTAGTTCTAAAATAACACTAAAAGTGCTTAAAAGCCTGCTTTTACATATTGCGGATTAATAAAATTGAGGGTCGCATTCAGTACGACCAAATTCGTTCGTTCGTGAAAAAGGGATGGCCTAATTCACTGTTTTAAACGTGACATGATAATTCTAGTTTTCCGACAGAAGAAAAAATCCAGGAATGTCAGCAAAAATTGTTGATGAAGGTATGCTTTTTTTGGGTTCCACTCTGTCTGTTTCAAAAAAGAAATATAAATAGAAATACATATCGGAAATTGTAAGAAATAATCAAAATAATATAATAAAAATAATAAAATAGAAATAGAAAAACGGTGGGGCGGGTTCTGATGGCAAGCGAGGCAACATAGAGTTACACTTCTCGGACATATCAAAAAACTGCACAACAGCGCTTAAAACTAATGAATAATCAAATCACTTAATCTTAATATTAATCTAATCATTTAATTGATTGAATTGAAAAAATACGAAAGTGGGTTCCCATGGGTCCACAATATTACGGATGACAGAATTATAACTGTTTAGGTTAGACCGATAAATCATGAGAGTTAAAAATAAATATTCCAAACACCCAAAACGGAATATGGGAAAGTATCCGACCACTTAAAGCTAAGGGCGCCAATATATAAAGGGCGATTCAATAAGGGTTTCCACGCTAAAATAATAAAAAAAACTCTTAAGAATATAAAAATACACAAACATTTTTATTTGCAATTTTATATTAGTGTATTACAATTGGGTATGAAAGATGATGTCATTCAAATGACCCCCGCGACTCATGTGGCATAATTCGATTATTGAAATTTCCTATCACTTTTTGATACAAATCAGGTTCTATGCCAGCTATTTCGCGTCTAATCTTCTGTTTCAGCGCTGGAATATTGTTTGGTTTATTTTTACACACTTTGCTTGTTAGATATTCCAACAAAAAAAATCTAGGGGAGTAAGATCTCATGATCGCGGCGGCCAATTGATATCGCCGTTACGTGAAATAATCCGACCTGGAAACTTGCCCCGCAGCAATTGCATCGTTTCTGTGGATGTGTGACAAGTGGCTTCATCCTGTTGGAACCACAAATCTTCAATGTCCATACCTTCCAACTGTCCCAGAAAAAATCAGATACCATGTTTCGATAGCGAACACCATTAACCGTAACAGCGTTCTTCGCATTATCCTCGAAAAAACAAGGGCCAATTATTCCTCCGCACCAAACAGTCACTTTTTGAGGATGCATTGCTTTTTGGACAATCTCTCTTGGATTTTCTATTCCCCAAATACGAGCATTGTGTTTGTTTACAAAGCCACCAACGTGAAAATGTGCCTCATCGCTAAAGATGATTTTCGTTGAAAAATGAACCCCTTGTTCTCGTATCCATTCTGCAAACACGCGGCGCTGTTGATGATCTCGAGGTTTCAACTCTTGAGTTATTTGGACTTTAAAACACGCAAGTCTTTTGTTAAAAATCGCTGTGTGGTTGAATACGTAAGGCCCACATGCTGCAATCGATGACGAATCGATGTGTTTGGATCTTCGGCTACACTTTCGCGAACAATGGCAATATTTTGATCTGACCGACCTGCACGAGCACGTTGAGGCACTTTGAGGTTAGCTACAGATGCAGTTTGCTCAAATTTTTGGAAACACACTCCAAATTGTCCTCTCAGAAGGTCGATTTTGAACGCCGAAAAATTCACGTAGAGGCAGAAATGCATTTTTTCTTGATCGACCATTTTCATAATAGATTCAGATTGTAATGTGGAAACTCTTATTGAATCACCCTTTATTAAGAAAGATATTAGTCACATCACAATACAACTTTATGGTTTTGCTATCAAATTTGTAAAATAGATTGAAACTTTTTAGATGCTGTACTAATTTTTGAAAAACTGTATCAGTTGAAAGTTATTAAGCCCAAGTATTTTTACAACTAATTTCTGGAAATTGGTTTGGTGGGTGTGCTATTAACAAGTGCGTATCGTAATTAATAATAATAGCACTTTAGTACAAAACAGAAAACATGACCCAATTTCAGGAAATATTAAATATAAATCATACAATACATATACGTAAAAACTAATCTTAAATCTACTAATCTTATAACTAAAAAAGTAAAGAATTAAAGAAGGAGAAATAAAAGGATAAGACTTGTCAGTCCGGATAACCCGAAGCTAATCATAGTATAAATCGCAGTGTTGTTGTATAGATAGTTTATTTCCAATTTTTTAAAAAAATACACAAGATCGACACAGGATAAACAATTTCAATTTTTTTCTGGATAATCAGCCGTTTCAAGTACCAGGTTAAAAATGCGACATAAAGGAGCACACAGTGCGTAAAAACAGTGTCTCACGATAAAACTTGGTATGCCACCAGGACCGGCGGTAGTTTTGTTTTTGAGTGCTTTGCTTGCTGGTCAGACATCCTGGATGGTAAACTTAGGTATGTTGACTAAATCGGGATTAAAGGATACGGTTGGAGATGAACATGGATCTCGCTGGGATATGGTGTAAACGTGTAAAACCAAAGTACTTTGCAAGAGCTGCGACAACCATACTAGGTCCATGGCATGGCTGATTAGACATCGTCACTGGGATTCGCATATCTGCCTTCTTACGCTGAATAAATGACAGAAATTGCTAGGACTATCATGTATCATAAAATAATAAGATTTGCGTTGCTTGAAATTTGCGGAAGCTCTCCCCTTCTCAAATTTATTTGCGATCATTTCTTTGGTGAACCATGATGGAAGTCGCCTTCGTCTCGGTGTTAGAGAGATGTGGAAAAGCGGCTAGGAAGAAAACTATTAACGAGGGATGGAAATTGGCCAAATCGAGATCTAGGTAACAGTTATTTGGTTAGTTACAGACTTATGCCTTTTAAGATTCAATTTCAAGAAGTAATATTGTCACCCAACAAGAAGATTGATCTGGCAAACAAGTCCAGCGATGACAAAGATTCAAAAAAGTTCTCAACTTCGAAGCTGGCAGCAGAGGCAGGAATGAAAATTATAAATACATAAAAAACAAAGTAATCTGAAGAGATCTTACAGCCTAAGAAGTCTATGCTTGGAGCACTGTTGCTGATGCCGGAAGTGCGGACTCAAAACGGTCGCGAACACCGAGCATGACACCACCGCCCCTGGAGACTCCGGTTAGGTCTTGCTTTCTGTCTGAGCCGTAGACCAGATAAGAATCAGGGAAGAGTTCAGAGGCAAGAAAATCGGGTTGAAGCCAGAATTCGGTGACAGCAACGATATCATACCCTGAGGAAGTTACGCCACTTTAAAAGGCATGGGTCTCCGATCTAAGATCAGCATTAATTTTGACTTCGTCTTCATATCTCGCCAGCAGGTTCGTACACTGAGCTTCGATGCTTATTCATTTTTCCATTGTGTTGTTCAAAGATACTTTCTATTCGAGGTTTTCTTGCTGCCTGACTGAGATTGCGCCATATCTAAGCAGGGATTGCACGTCCATGCACGCATGTTTCTTTGGATTTATTATTTATGTTTGTTAAACTCATGGTTAGTGGGACCCGAAAACAACCCTTGTGAAACCACCACAGACAGGCACAACATGATAATGAAGGTTGACTTTAATTCATTGATTTCTCACAGTGTGAACATGCTTGTTGATATTAGGCGCCATCCGTGCAGTACGTCCGTGGCCAAGGGCACTCTCAGAAAAAAAATATATAAACACGGCTAAAATATTACAAATACTGTTGTGTGAGCACTGTTTTTTGATAGATTATTTGTTTGACGTCTGCTGAAGAACAAGTAAATGTGGCTGGTATGTTTTAGCGCATTTAAAATGTGATGGAACTACCGAAATTGGAGTAATTATGAGGACACATATTAAGCATGTCGGAGGGCGATAGACAGCCCGAAAATAATGATAATAATGAGTTTAGGTTGTCAAAGTATCAAATTATTTTCCAAAACTAGACATTGTAAAAACAAAAACTTGCTTAGCTTTGGTTAATTAAATATTTCAAATACAGATAAAAATAAAAAATTGAAACTCTTTACATTTCAACCATATAACGATATCCACCATTTGAAACCTTTCGTCAGACGAGAAAACGTCAATAAATAAATTTAGTCCCAACATTAATTTCAAACCAACACTAACTTGTTCTCAAACAAAAAGCCGCGCAGCAGCTACAACTTAACTAAAAAATGGCTGTTGATGGTAGAAGGGCATATCCCAATTTTGCCAGAAATAGTTAGGAAATTATAGAAGTAATATTTTAAAATTTTATCACCCTGTTGTTATGAAGTTTTAAGCAAACTAATGCCAATAAAAAATTTCCCGTCTCCCGCCCTTATTACCAAAAAAATCATCTCGGAGTTACCCAATCGTCAGCTCTAACCAAAACAAACATTTGCTCAGTCGCATTTTTCTAAAAATTTAATTTACTCGTCGCCTTATTTGGTAACATAATCTGGTAGATAAAAAAAACATCATGTGAAATTCTCTGCAACTCTAGAACCAATAAATAAATAAACATATTGCCTGACGGAAAAGTTTCGGTTTACTTATCGCAAGCTCTAAATATTCAAAGGTGGGTCTCAACGTAAATTCCGGATTGTAATTTACTTTCCAACTATTCTTACTCTAAACATGTAACATAATACACCCGGGAACAACAACTCACTACAACTTTCAAAATTAGACGGAGTTACCATGGCAACTCCCAAGATGTCTTCCCCGAATAAAACAATATAACATCTCGATGTAGATTTTGCTAAACTTTAATTGGTTCAGGATTTTGTTAACGGATTAGTTTTATTTTCATCAGAGTTTCAGTGGGGCTGTTTATCGACACAACTAAAACGTTGTTAAATCATAAAACCTTGTT